ATATATATATATATATATATATATATATATATATATATATATATATATATATATATATATATATATATATATATATATATTCATTGGTTAGCATGTGCAAAAATGAAAGTGACACCCACTAATAATGCAAGATTCTTTGTTCATGATATTTGCATTCTTATAAGGGAAGATCGCAATCTCGGGGTTGTACGTGACTACATTGTACTATACGGTCGTGTATTAGATTCCTGCATGTGGTAGATTGCAACTCCTCCACTGCCGGATTCTATATGGAAGGAATCCAAGGTCGGATATAATATATATATATATATATATTCCACATTGGATTCTTCGACCCACTTTGGATTCCATTCACTGTGGGCTCGTTTCCATCTACCCGCGGTGAGATCTTTTACTATGAGAAGCAATCATTGCGCTGCTTGATCTACGAAGAACCAACTAAACAAGACACCATTAAGATTAGAAAGGAGACGGACAGTGACGGAGGTGGCGAGTAGCCCGCCAAGTGCTCCTTCCTCTTCGCCTATAAAGGCACCAACTCCATGGCAGAGCTTACTCGTGGTAGGTCACCAGTCCTTCGAGCTGAGTGATGGAAGGTTTCCCCTCTCCTAAACACCTGCTCCTTCTCCTCTTCACCGCCGCCCTCCTCCTCGTCTCCTTGTCGCTCCGCTCCTTCCCCACCATCCGATCCCTCTCGTCCCACCGTTACTCTTTCCGTGGGGGTTCCACCGGAACTGATGGCTCCGGGGAGACGTTGCACGTCCACAAAAATCCGTACCACCCCCTCGACCCTCTTACGTATAACGAGATAAAGGCCATCCGTTCCATCCTCGCTTCCCACCCGGACTTCGCCTCGCCGAACACCTTCCCGTCCATCCACTCCCTGTCGCTCTTGGAGCCCGAGAAGGCCGTCGTCCTCGCGTGGCGCCCCGGGGACACACTCCCTCCTCGCCGCGCCCTTGTCGTCGCCTATTCCGCCAACCACACCCACGTCCTCCCCGTCGACATCGCCTCTCGCAGCGTCCTCCGTCACGTCGTCCGCGCCCGGCCCGCCGGATACCCCAGCCTCACCCCCGAGGAAATGGAGCGTGCCACGAAGGCCGCCGCTGCGCACCCGGACGTTATCAACGCCGTCTTTTATCGCGGCCTGAACCCGTCGTCCGGCGTTGTCTGCGGACCGCTGGCGTCGGGTTGGTACGGGCCGGAGGAGGAGAACCGGCGGGTGATCAAGGTCCAGTGCTACGCCAAGTCCCCCAACTTCTACATGAGCCCGGTGGAGGGGCTCACGGTGACTGTGGACGTGGACACGGGTGGGGTGATCCGCGTCTCGGACCAGGGGCTTGGGATCCCGGTGCCGCGCAACAGGGACACGGACTACCGCTACGAGTCGCAGAGGAGGATTCCGACGACCGAGGCGGTGGCGGTGAACCCGATGTCGATGGAGCAGGCGGGGAAGCCTAGCATGAGGGTGGGGGCGGGCGGGCACGCGGTACAGTGGGCGGGGTGGGAGGTGCACATCCGGCCGGACGCGCGGGCGGGGATGGTGGTGTCCCGGGCGCGTTTCCGGGACCCGGAGGGCGGCGGGGCGTGGCGGGATGTGATGTACAAAGGGATGGTGTCGGAGCTGTTCGTGCCGTACATGGACCCAGGGGAGGGGTGGTACTTCAAGACCTACATGGACGCCGGCGAGTACGGGATGGGGACGAACGCCTTCCCCCTGCTCCGCCTCAACGACTGCCCCCGGAACGCCATCTACATGGACGCGGTGTTCGCAGCGGCTGACGGCACCCCCTTCGTGCGCCCGGACGTCGTCTGCGTGTTCGAGCGCTACGAGGGAGACGTGGCCTGGCGGCACACCGAGAACCCCGTGTCCGGCTACGACGTAAGCATCGTTCTCTCCTCATCTTCACCGCATAAATTGGATCCCCTCGGAAGAAAAACCCAAATCTCACCGTTCGTATGCATCATGCACGGATCTTAAGGGTCTGATGGATGCCGATCATAGAAATTTACCTCTCATCATCTGAAAAGTAGAAAGAGTACAGTTGCAGAGAAAAGGGCGTGAAGGTATCCGCAGATGAATCTCGAAGGAATCTTGAGAGGTACGAGAGTTGGATCCATAGAGATTCAGATGCTCTCGAGGACCCCCACTCGAAAAGACATCTCCTCACCTGTAGAAAGCAAAGAATAGGGACGTACTTGCTTTGACCGGTGCACAGCCTCGCAGCATCCAACGCACATCTCTCTATTCTCTTTTTCTACATAAACATCTGCAGATGTCATGGTGAACCGCAGACACGATGGCTGCTGGATGGAACACCAGTCTGATGCATCATGCTTTTTGTTGTTTGATTGCATGGGGGTGTGAAGCAGATAAGGGAGGCGAGGCCGAAGGTGACGCTGGTGGCCAGGATGGTGGCGTCCGTGGGGAACTACGACTACACCGTGGATTGGGAGTTTCAGATGGATGGCCTCATCCGAGTGAAGGTATCTATCTATCTATCTATCAATCCGCTTCCCCTCTCTGTCTTCTTCTTCCTCCACAGAGTTCTTTTCATAGGAACTTACCGTGTCAGATAGTATCGTAATGAAGTGACAGACAAGACAAGGCCATATGAAGACACAGAAAACAGCCACTTGATGAAGTCAACTTTATTTATTGAGATTCCTTGAACATGGAATCTGGTATCAGCTGGGCCATATATATTGTGGAATCAATAAAGGATCTTGCATCAGCTGGGCCATCGCCAGTCTGGATTCCTCTGGATGTGTATGTGTGTGTTCAGGTGGTTCTTTGGCTTGTACCAACATAAAGATCAAGCGGAGCAGAAGAAGCCGAAACAGCTGATGTTTGTTTCACTCAGCACATTTATGCGCATGGACCCCACAGGTGGGCCCAGTACTAATTGCTCCGGGTGATGTGACCAGGTGAGTCTCAGCGGCATGCTGATGGTGAAGGCGACACGCTACGGGAACCTGAGCCAAGTGCCGGAGGGGGAAGACCTGTACGGGACGCTGGTCGCCGACAACATCGTCGGCGTGGTCCACGACCACTTCGTGACATTCTACCTGGATATGGACGTGGACGGGCCCAGCAACTCCTTCGTCAAGGTGCACATGGAGACGCAGGAGACGGCCCCCGGGGAGTCCCCCAGGAAGAGCTACATGAAGGTGGTGAGGGAGGTGGCCAGGACGGAGGAGGACGCGAAGGTAAAGCTGAAGCTGTACGACCCCTCCGAGTTCCACGTCGTCAACCCTTCGCGTCTCTCCAAGCTCGGTAACCCCTCGGGGTACAAGTTGGTGCCCGGCGCCACCGCTGCAAGCTTGCTGGACTTGGACGATCCTCCACAGAAACGAGCCGCATTCACCAATAACCAGGTGATGATCATGTCGTACGCTCTCCTTCTCGGTGATCGCTCGATCGCTATGTCATTCTCTCTCTTGTCTCCCGGTAGATATGGGTCACTCCATACAACCGCAGCGAAGAGTGGGCGGGCGGCCTGCTCGCGTATCAGAGCCACGGGGACGACAACCTCGCTGTTTGGTCAAAGAGGTAAGACAGACGGCAATACACTCCTCATGCATGCATGCATGCATAGGTAGTGAGAGAACTAATGGTACGTGAGGGTGAATGCGTTACAGGGATCGGAAGATTGAGAACAAGGACATCGTCCTGTGGTACACCATGGGATTCCATCACGTACCATGCCAAGAGGACTACCCCATAATGCCCACCGTGTTCTCCACCTTCGACCTGAAACCTGTCAACTTCTTTAGGATCAATCCGATCATAAGAGCAGCGCCATACACCGAGGAAGATCTCCCGGTGTGCAACGGGGTCCATGCAACGCTCTGAGCAAGGAAGGCCCCATGGAAGCACGTACGTAAAGATCTGCGTGGTAGAAACATGCAAAGGACGTCTACGTAGGCTTGGATGTTGGTTGCTATGGATGTGCATAAGCTTTACATTTGTGGATGATAAGATATAGATTTCTGTAAATACCTCCAATGCACTCGTCGTCTCCTGCATAGAATTAGTCCTCTTCGTCTCTCTCTCTCTCTAATAAGGGAGTCAGGAGAAAGGTTGTGAATTCCGAAGTATGAAATATCGATGTGAGGTTGTGAAGTGTTTCTAAGAAGATCATTTTGTATTTAGTACGATGAAGGATCGGACAAACAGTATGCATGTATTCTACTATTAACTCGAACGTAAACATTTAGAATTGCATAATTTGAAGTCCATCAAGTTAATGATAAATAATCCATTCGTGATATTACATGTCGTATAACCAAACTAATAATTAGGATTGCTAATGTTATGACAAATTATATAACAATAACATCGTTAATGTTATGGTAAATTATTCGGCTAGTTTATCATAACATTTTTGACTTGTTGGAAATAAAATTTTAATGAAGAGGATATTCCAAACATGTTTAGTATTTCGACAATGGAATTAACTGTGGGCCGAATGTGTTAGCCCATCGAATCCATGGCCCAAGCAAGCATGTCTTCTTCTTCTTCTTCGTCTTGTGATGAGACATGCAGGAGATACGTATAGCTCACCCACCCGTCAAGTGCGAGGTGGGTGGGAAGACCAAAGAGGAGTACTGTTTTAGTCTCACCAAACCTTTCAACGCCTTCGTTTCAAAGCATGCAACCTACCACAGACCAGCGAAGTGAGTACATTCTTTGTTTTGATTGGAACACCAGTCTTCAGCTAACACCTTTTTGGGAAGCTCAAATTAATTCTATATAGAAAAACTCCCGTTTAATCATTTATGATTAGAAAGATAATTTTGAAGTCTTATTTAGAGAATAATTTACATTGAAATTTCTCGAAAGTTTTTCGAGTCTGAAGTTAAAAATATTCATCAAATCATTTCATAATGATAATTAAACTGTTAAAGATGATAGACGCATACACTTATTTGTTTTAAGAAGCAAATCATCGTCAAAATCAAATAAATATTTTATTCTTCTTTAAGGAACAAATATAATCAAAATTATATATGTGTGTTGAAAGAGAAAACTGATGAAGTGGCCTTTTGGTTTGGCTTCCGAAACAAGAAAAGCCATGTCTTGCAAGAGCCGCTCCTTATAAGGGGAGAATATTGTGTTGGCATTAATAAGCGGTACGAATAGAAGAGAACTATCCATTAATATGATTATATGTACAACATAAATTAGTCGATTTACTTCACTGCCTCAGTTAGATTTTTCTGACATAAGCATAAATATTACATAAACGATAGATAATAATGTACTTATTTCTAAAATCTTTGAATTGATTACTATATTATCGCACAAATGATAAGTCTCATATTTTAATTTAATCGTCATATAAGTAAGTCATTTGATATAAATATTTTTTAAATTTATTTTTCTTTTAAAAATTATTATGTAGTTAAGAATTATTATTTTTCTTATGATTATAATGTTATGCTGATGCGATCGCAGCCTCATACGGGCGGCGGACAAAGGAAGGCGTTGCGATAAGGGGCGATGGATATGGCTGGTGAAACCAGAGGCAGTCATCCGTCACCCCTTTCTGACGGCTGAGATGTAATCCGTACTCCGATCCGACGTCTCTCGATGCGTGGGTCCCTTTCCCCTCGCTCCATTCTCTCCGACACCCCATCCAAGTGGCTCAAAAGGCCCCGTACCTTTCTTATTCCTCTCGCCCACTCCATCCCGTAGCCAATCGAGAGAGTGAGAGACATGGCCGCTTCATCCTCCGTGAACGCCGCCCAAGCCATCGTTGGCCTCGCCGTCTCTAGCCATGGTTCCCACTCCGCCGACCGCGTCGCCGTCCCCGCCGGCGGATTCGCCCTCAGTTCCCTAGCCGGCCGCTCCCTCACCTGCTCCCACTCCCCCCGTTTCCAGCATCAGCGGCGGTGCCCGCGGCAGGCGTCACGCGCCGCGCGTCGCGCGGCGCCCGCCAGGGCCGCCGCGGTGGAGACCCTCGAGGCTGCCGCCACGGAGGCCCTCGTCGAGAAGTCCATCAACACCATCAGGTTCCTCGCCATCGACGCCGTCGAGAAGGCCAACTCCGGCCACCCGGGCCTCCCCATGGGGTGCGCGCCCATGGGCCACATCCTGTACGACGAGGTCATGAGGTACAACCCCAAGAACCCCTACTGGTTCAACCGCGACCGCTTCGTCCTCTCCGCCGGCCATGGCTGCATGCTCCAGTACGCGTTGCTCCACCTTGCTGGCTACGACAGCGTCCAGGTCAGGCCTTGGATCTTTCCCGAGTCTTATCCTCAGATTTGATGAAGCTATTACCAAGAAAGTTGGCAACTTGATGGTGATCGGTCCATTCTTCTTCATAGATTTGGATCTGGCTTTGGAATGAGATCTCTGCTATTCCTTTTTCTTGCTTTAATCATGGTATCATCACACACGTAATTTCTTGGAATCGAAAGCATAGTAAAGTCCTAAACTTCTCATTTGATCAGTTCACTCAGATGCCTATCATGTTCACCGATCTGTATAGTATCAAACACACTAGATCACTCTACTCTACCAATTTCATGTGCGTTTTGATTTGCATCAAGATGATGTTGTCTTGGTCATTTAGATGGAGGACATCAAGCAATTCCGGCAATGGGGGAGCAGAACTCCCGGCCATCCTGAGAATTTCGAGACCCCCGGAGTTGAAGTCACCACCGGTTAAGTCTCCTGCAGATTTTATGATACGTTTTGTGATCATCTCTTTCCTTCATTGCTTTCCCTGAGCTTTCACGACCGTCTGTTGATCGGCACGAACACGATGCAGGGCCACTTGGTCAAGGCGTAGCCAATGCCGTAGGATTGGCACTTGCTGAGAGACACCTTGCGGCCCGTTTCAATAAGCCTGACAACGAGATCGTCGACCATTACACGTAAGTTCTGTCTTGGTTATGTCCGAATGCTGCTGCTAAGGTCACACGTTTGAGTAATTTGATTTCGATCGGTAGATATGTTATACTCGGGGATGGTTGCCAAATGGAGGGCATCGCAAACGAAGCTTGTTCGATCGCCGGACACTGGGGTCTCGGCAAACTCATCGCCTTCTACGATGACAACCACATCTCCATCGATGGAGACACAGAGATCGCGTTTACAGAAGATGTGTCTGCTCGTTTCGACGCTCTCGGGTGGCATACTATCTGGGTGAAGAACGGTAACACAGGGTATGATGACATTCGTGCCGCGATCATGGAAGCAAAGGCTGTCAAAGATAAACCAACACTCATCAAGGTTTGTGTTGTTTGCCGGAATTGTTCTCGAGCAGAATGTTCGGCTGGGTATATGCTTGTTTCGGATTGCTAAGCCACTGCACTCGTGCAGGTCACCACTACCATCGGATATGGATCGCCCAATAAGGCGAACTCGTACAGTGTGCATGGAAGTGCATTGGGTGCCAAGGAAGTCGATGCAACTCGACAGAATCTTGGATGGCCGTACGAGCCTTTCCATGTGCCCGAGGATATCAAGAGGTCAGCGACTACGAATTCGGATTCTAATCGTCGATTATGAATGATTTGTTCTGTACATAGACCTGTGCTCTGGTTTATGGTTCAGTCACTGGAGCCGCCATGTCGCTGAAGGTGCATCCCTTGAAGCTGAGTGGAACGCCAAGTTTGCAGAGTACGAGAAGAAGTACAAGGAGGATGCTGCAGAGCTGAAAGCCATCGTATCGGGAGAATTGCCTGCCGGATGGGAGAAAGCTCTTCCGGTGAATCTCTCACCCTCCTGTCTTCTGACGCTATCCATCCATTCGATGTCGTAAAGCTATGATTCCATATGGCTCTTTTCCAGACATACACTCCTGAGAGTCCTGCCGATGCTACCAGAAACTTGTCGCAACAGAACTTGAATGCGCTTGCGAAAGTTCTACCTGGACTTCTCGGGGGTAGTGCAGATCTCGCATCCTCCAACATGACATTGCTCAAGATGTTTGGGGACTTCCAGAAGGGCACGCCCGAGGAGCGTAATGTTCGTTTTGGTGTACGGGAGCACGGGATGGGCGCCATCTGCAACGGCATCGCCCTCCACAGCCCCGGCCTTCTCCCCTACTGTGCGACCTTCTTTGTTTTCACGGACTACATGAGAGCTGCCATCAGGATCTCAGCTTTGTGCGAGGCAGGAGTCATCTATGTGATGACGCATGATTCCATCGGTCTCGGGGAGGACGGTCCGACTCACCAGCCGATCGAACACTTGATAAGTTTCCGAGCCATGCCGAACATTCTAATGCTCAGGCCTGCCGATGGAAATGAGACCGCCGGAGCATACAAGGTCGCGGTGCTCAACAGGAAGAGGCCATCGGTGCTCGCTCTCTCGCGGCAGAAACTTCCTCAGCTTGCGGGAACATCAATCGAGGGAGTAGAGAAGGGAGGGTACATCGTTTCAGACAACTCCTCAGGTAACAAACCAGACCTGATCTTGATGGGCACCGGTTCGGAACTGGAAATTGCAGCGAAGGCTGCCGACGAGCTGAGGAAGACGGGGAAAACGGTCCGAGTGGTATCGCTCGTCTGCTGGGAGTTGTTCGAGGAGCAATCAGATGAATACAAGGAGAGTGTGCTCCCCGCTGCGGTGACTGCTAAGATCAGTATCGAGGCAGGTGCCACGCTTGGATGGGAGAAGTACGTCGGCGGCAAAGGGAAGGCCATCGGGATAGATCGGTTTGGAGCGAGCGCTCCTGCGGGGAGAATATACAAGGAGTTCGGCATATCGGCAGACAGTATCATTACCGCAGCCAAATCGCTCTAAGGTTTGTGATAAGCTTTTGTTCCAGCTTGCTCTTTCTCTTTCTTTCATGATTTGAGGATGCTACAAAGAACGGATTCAAATCTGGGATTTGGACTGTAATAAAGTTTTCGTATGTCCTTCATCATTTGGTTCGTATGCGTCAGTGTCTGCGTGCTGAGGATATGGCTGCAAACGGCTGAAGATTGTTCGGTTGTGAGGCTGTCCGTTGAGCCACACAAAAGTGGTTAGACAAGGGATAGCCTTCCAGGACCATTCAGCAGGACCGGC